TCGGCCAAGGCCCCTCCCACATGCTTCTCGAGCATGCAACAGGGAGAAGGAATAGAAATGGTACAGATAGGGGTACAACACATGACACGAACAGAAACGGGCGCGAACATGGTGCCCGGAGCAGAAAGATGAGGGATGCTCGGCCCGAATAGAGGATACATCATAGCTAACTTACCAAACCCGGACCAAGAGCGGCAACGCCAAACCAACAAGAGCACCAACATCTCGACGACCAAAACCGGAGACACCACGAGCGAGCAAGATAGCGCCTTCAGGAAGGAGGACGACGCCGAGACACCGTCGCCATCCGATCTGGATGAACCAGACCTAGGGTTTCCCGTGAGCTCGAAGGGGGGCACAACCGAGGGCCTTGACAGCGCCTCCAAGAAGGAAACGACATCCCAGACGCCGCCGCTGCCAGCATCGGCAAGCCGAGCAGGATTTTCTCCCTGGCCTGAAGCTGAGCAATCCCATAGCCACCATATCTGGAAACAAAGATGAAGAAGCCAACGCCAGTCGGAGCCACCATGTCGGAAGGGGGTTGGCGGGGCTGCATCTGCCGTCGGAGGGTGGCACCACCTCCGAACCCACGAGTATTGGACTTGGCAAAAGGGGGGCTTTGAGGAATACAAGGTAGGGCAGGTGACGAAGCAAACCACGAGGGGGGTGGGGCGACGGCGATTGGCAACGCCGACAAGGTAGGACTGGTGGTACGTAGATCCTAGTTGTCGTGACTATAGTCGTCGAGAGATCGGGGACCAAAGCGAGATGGAAGGGCAGTTGCTGGGTTGCCGAGACCGGATCCGCCCGGCAGAGGACGCCGGTAGCCATGGACACCGGAGGGACGCGGGTCCAAGGTCGTCGGGGCCGGAGCAGTGCCAGCAAGTACCCTCCTTGACGGCTTCGTGACTGCCACTAGCACTGTAGACTCATCACCACCGCGAAAATCGTCACCGTGGCTCGGGGGAGAGGACGGGCCGCCGGTGACGAGGGGGGGCCGCCTGCAGGCAGGACGGCCGCGGACACCCCTGTGACCGGCCACAGATCCCGCGCCCAACCAAGGACAATAGCACCAGCAAGGCTGGGGTGCGCAGGGATGGGGAGGGAGGACTGCAGGGGGCGGCACCCTGTGGCTGTGACCAGCACGTCGTGCCGTCGACAGAAGCGGGCAACAGTTGGGTGGGGGGCGCCCGCGCAAGAGCCTATTGACGCTGGGCGCGAGGGGGGCGCAGGGGACGGATCTGGCGTGCACGACCTTGCAGACCGATCCTCCAGCGGCGGCACAATAGAGGCGGGCGGGAAGGTGCCATGCGGTGGCGGCGGATCTGGGGACGGGGCGAGGTGGGGAAGTGCGTTGGGGGGAGGGAGAACGGGTCCGCCCCACCGCCGCTCTCCTGAGGCGCGGCACGGCTTGGCCGGCCGGCCCTCCGGCGGCGGCGCAGCGGGGGCGGGTGGATGGGGAGGTTTCCTGGTGGCGGCGGACGTAGTTTCCCCCGTGTCGCCAGGGAGGGCGTCGCGGGGCGTTTCCAGTCGTAAACGCTTGTACCAGTACTCCCACAAAAGACTAAGGGCCTGTTCGGATCCACTCCGCTCCAAAACTCTGCTCCGGGAGCAGGCGGAGCTGACCCGAACGCTGCAACTCCCTGGAGTCGATAGAGCGGAGCGGAGCGATCTGTAGTTGGAAATCGCAGAGCGAGGCATGAGGTGGTCCGCAGATCCTGGAAGCGAAGGAGTTTGTGAAATTTACGGCTGACTGCCACCGATAAGTGACATACCGGTTCGTTCGTGTTAGACTAGTCACGGTGGGAGTAACTTCAGTAGTAACATCGAGTCCAACTCAGCAAATTTGCTTATGTGGTAATGAGTTAATGAGGAGAGAGGTAGTAGTAGTAACTTAGCTAGTTACTGTAACATCACATGTCTCAATGCAATATGAGTCTACAACATAGTAAATGAAGCTCTGCATGTTACCACACTTATGTTACTACCCACTATAAAGGTAGTAATATAGTCTAGGGATATGCTTATGTTACTAGTGTATGTTACTCTCCATTGTGGCTATTCTTATGTCTCCCACTCTCTCGTGCCTTTTCTATCCTACCGCCTCCCCTCAGTATGGGCTACAGCCCAGATTGGGCTACAGGCCCATCTCATGAACCAGAGGAGCGGAGCGAACTAGCCAAACACTTCCCTGGCTCTCACGATCGATGGAGGAGTGGGAAATCGCTAGGAGGAGCTGGAGCGTAGGATTTGGTGGAGCTGGTGGACTACCGAACAGGCTCTAAGAATGTATCCAGTCACATTTTAGTATTAGGTACATCCGTATCTAGACAAATTTAAGACAAGAATTTTGGGATGGAGGGAGTAAATAAAAGCTCGAATTGTGAATCATGGAGGAATTACGCCGTTCAATCTACACCGACCACCACAAGACTACGTCATGCGGTTTGAGAAATTTTCCAGTTAATCACACCGATCTACCCATCTGGATGTTGCTAACCTCCTGGAGACATTGTCCGTCATTATATTGTTATCTTTGGCTGCACGCGGATATACATATAAATTGTATGTGATAGTACAAACAATTACGTGTTTTTTGTTGTTGTTTTTAGGATGCCATTTTGTTTTATTTTTATATAGCCGACAAATCATCATATTATATATGTGACAAATTTACAGATGTGTATTGACCATGTATACGTTTTCACACACAAAATATTGATTTCCTTTCACACTTTAAAATACCAATTATTCTTTTCACAATACCGGTCTCCAAGGAGCCGGTGTCCTCTTCGCACTCGGCAGTTGCCCTTTTATTCACAGGATGCTAAGAATGAAATCAAGCCAGAACAATTTGTATTCTCTAATGTAGACTAGCATATATGCCCGTGCGTTGCAACGGGAGAAATACTATCAAATTATGCAGGTGTAGTAGATATAAAAAATTGTATGAATCAAATGCTAGAATGAGATAAGGACTTTTAGAATGTCATTTCACAAACTATGTCTGACTGATGTCATAATGAGATAGGGGACTTTTAAAAAGTCATTTCAAAAACTAAAAATGTGATGGTCTCATCACAACTTGATTTTCTAAGGCGCCACAACAAAATATTTCTTGGCTTAGCAAAGTGCATTTATGGACCTTGTCTGAGCTAGACTGATGAATGATGTGTCTCGCCTTGAGCTAGCATACTGGTGTTTACCATTAATAATACCGTGGTACCAGAATAAACATAGCCGTGTATGGAGGCAAAATAGACATTTAGTCATTTTCATATAGCTTACAAAACTAACCCATAATAAGAAGTTGTGTCAATTTTTTGGGGGGCTCAGCACGGGACAAACCACATAAACCTTTTTTTACCAGACGTGAGGGACTAAATAAAATAATAAAAAGATCTCTGCAGATCCACTAATAAAAAGTGGTGGGTCGTTTTGTTCATTATTTATGGAACTGTTTAATATTTGTGAACATTTTCACAAATTTCATGGACATTTTTTTCGAATCCCGAATATGTTTCGAATACTGGATCATTTTTTTAAATCATGAAAATTTATTTGAAATCCTGTTTTTTGTTATAATATGCAAACATTTTTTTGAAGTCAACATTTTATGATTTTCTGAATGTTTTCTGAATTTACAAACAGTCTATGAGTTACCAATATGGTTTTTCAAAAAACTCACAACTTTTTGAAATTTGGTTCTTTTGGAGATCCAGAATTAATTCAAAGAAGGAAAAACCAAAACAAAAATGAGAAAGTGAAAAAGCAAAAACGAAATAGAAAACAAGGGGCGCCAAGTCCCGCACATGGGCAGACCCATTATCCCGTGCTATAGTGAGAAAAAAGGGGAGAAAAGGGGGCAAGAACCAGGGATCAAACCCTGGTCTCCCATGTGGATGACTGTAGACTTAGCGATTGCGTTGTCTCTGTGCTGATGTTATATGGCTGTATCCATCTATAAGAACAGTAGCCGGTGGCGATTTTTTTTTTGAACCAAATATGCGTGGCATAGTTGGTAATTTATGGCAAATTCGGAGCTAAATCTGATGACGGACGACCAGAAGCACTAACCGCTTTATTATTAGGAGGAAAGATTTAGCTAGGGCTTGCTCCGCTTCACCCCATGTATCTGCACTCTTGACTGCTCCAATTTTATCCCGAATCATTGGGATCAAACCAAATCTCTATCCCCCCAACTGAAACAAGGCATTTCCGCAATTTTGACAGACAACAACCAGACGAAACTAAGTCGGCGACACAGCTACTGGGGTGCGGCATTTTTTTTTGCGGGTACACGGAAGCTAGTTTGTTGGCGATGAGGCTGTACACAACAATGCCTAAGGTGGCCTCCAGGGACAAGAGAGGAGGGTAGACCAGCCTTCATTTTTCTCCCAAGAGAGGAGGGTCAATAATCATTCAACAAATGAAGAATTCATTTTCTCGCAAAAAAATGATTATTGACCCGAAAAGAAAGGAAATTGTCATTTCCATTGCAGGTCATATACCTTTTACTGAACATGGATTATGGTGTAGTCTTTAGATTGACACTTTGCACCCTAATTATTTTTTCTCTACACCCAGACTGCTATGCTTTAAATGATCTTTAGTGTTTTAGCTGTGTGCACTTTTATAGTCAGAGGCAAGGAGTTTAACAAAAATTGAGATGGAGATAGGAGTTGAATTGTTGTGAGGTTTTATTACACCCTCTGGTCCATATTAATTGACGCAGATAGTACAACTTTACTAGTAGCATATTTAAGCGTAAAACCTTATTTTAGTAAAAAGTAATAATAATTGGTGTACCAATATAAACATACAAAGATTTCCTTCATTTGTGAAGTTTAAGACACCTTATTTTGATATAAAAAAATGACTTATTCTCAGAATGACGGAACTTCTATAATTAGATAGAGTTTGTGTAATTAGTTATATACCAATATTGAAAGGTGCAGGTGCGTATATTATACGGCCAAGAAAACACGAATGGAGTATACCTTTTATCCTTCAGATGCTCGGTGAGGTCATGAATGAGGTCGTGCACCTCATTAGCGTCGGGTGGTTGGTGCGGACGAACTTGTGCGAGTATGCTCCTCAGGATCCTCCTCATGTCAGGTTTCTTGGCCGTCCGCACAAAAGCTCGGCAGTCGAAGTAGTCCCCCGGTTTGTGCTCCCGCCATAGCTGTTTGGCAAGCGTGGTCTTGCCGATTCCTCCAACACCCACAATGGATAGCACCTTGAGCTGCTCATCCCCATCGGTAAGAGTTCTGCAGAGCCTATCAACCACGCCGCCCTTGGCATGGAGGCCGATGTCTGGTTTCCGATCGCCAACCACCGTTGGGATCGGAACGATATTCATACGGCGGCTGGGGACGCTCTCAAGCTTGTATCTGTCGTACCGTCCATTGGCCTCCTTCACGCGTGGCTTGAATATTCGTGACATCTTATCGATCCAATCTGCATCGGTGTCGACACAGTTGATCATATCATAGGATAGATCGCGTACCTCCTTCATCCATATCCTCGCTGTAACCGGAAGATCTTGTGCCTTGGCGAGCTTCAGCAGCCGGGATCCAAGTTCCCGGATCTCATCCTTGAGTTCGGTGTCCAGGAACGCATCGAGCTTCCCGTAAAGGGAGCCCATAGCGCCCAGAGACGCACTAATTGGAGGCAGCAGATCCATGTCGATCTCTCTGCAACAGAAACACTAGAGCGGGGACCAAATTAGCAAGACCACCACATCGCGAGCTCGGAACAAGAGGGAGGAAACAAGAAAAAAATCCTCACCGGCCGGCCTTGCTAGAAGAAGGGACCGGAGGGGCCAGTCTTGTTTGGCTCCGAGGACTTCTACTGAGCCATCGGCCCGACGCTGACGATCTGCGCCCCGCAACTGGCCTTGTGCAACGGGCTCAGCAGGCGCAACACTTGTACTCGTCTGGTGGAATTGTGTCGGTGAAAAGCTGTGATAAAGCGAGCCTCTGGCGCCACTACGAAACAACCTGCTGAACAGTGAACGCACCAACCTTTGTTTCTCCTATATCGTACAAATAAAGCACTTGAGTTCGGTCACAATTCAGAGGGGGACGAATCAGGAGACGATACGTATGTTTGTAGGACCGCCGTTTGTGTACGTTAAAGAATCATTGAGTTGTCCAGCATTATTGAGC